GCAGTCCAACTCCATTTTACCGTTCTAAGATTTTTTAAACCTCCGATTGTTGGGCAGCAGATTAAAATAAGTGCTTCCCACTTGCAGTGTTATAATGAAATGGACCTGACATTGCTTCCTAGAGATAGTTTGTGTGTGTTTTAACTGGTGCTGGCCAGGAATAAAATAGAAATGCTTTTGTGAAAACACCTGATGTCTTTGCAAACCCAGCTTTCGTACAGAGTATACTGCAGATACACACTGCAACGTGGGAAGATTGCAAATGGCTCTCTTTTCCCAATGAAAGGTGTAACAGATATGAATATCCCCCCTCCCTTTTCTTACCCCACCCCATGTTAAGCCAAAGACAGCATGTGAAAAGGTGTTCAAAGCCAACGGCTCAGTGGCGTAGCGTGGGGGTGCAGGGGGGGCCGCACCGGGCGCAACATCTGGGGGTTAGGGTTAGGGGGTGCAAATCCACGGGTTAGGGGGCGCAAATTACTTGCCTTGCCCCGGGTGCTGACAACCCACGCTACGCCACTGTAACGGCTGCATGCAGGACTTTTCCCCAAACCCTGGAGGGTGGTGCAATGGTCAGTATGTAAGGCGGAGACTGGAGAGGCCTGGGTTCAAATCCCACACCCCGGCAAGCAGCTCACTGCAACCTTGAGCCAAATTTGCCACCTCTCAGCCTCACCTGCATACGCAGTTGCTGATGTGATATAATGGGTTGGGGAGCAATTCAGTTCTTCTATTCAGTTCCTTGCAGGAAATGCGATGGGTCTCTCAGGAGGCAGCTGACGGACTGTGTCTTCTCCTGGCTCACCAGGGAGTAGCAATGGCTGCCCATCGATCCAGCGCTCCATGGGGCCACAAGGGAATGAAGCCACATGCACAAATACTCCCTTCCTTACCCTGCGCTCCAGCCAAAAATCTTGGGGTCCAGGATTTCCAGTTGGGAAATTTAAAGTTTTACATCATTGGTGGTTTGGGGGAGGGAGCGCGAGGATCCTCCTTAAGGCCAGATTCCTCCCTCCCAGAACTGGGCTTTTAAATCAGGCGGTTACAACAGCGCGGCATTGCCAAAAGGAAACTCTGTAAGATCATATTGCCATTTATGCCAGCTTGTGCAAGTGCATATATCAGTATCTGGCTATCGACCCACTGAGGCCTGTGATCCAGCAGACACACAGCCAAATATTCAGACCAGACTCCCCCCTTTCTTAGGCAAGCTATATTTGGGTTTCAGCAGCTGAACACCCAAATGGGGGAAGGGTCAACACCCCCTTGCTGCATCCAAGTCTTGAAACATGGGCACAGAGACCAGAAAACCCGTATCTCATCCACCAAACCCTTATGGAAAACCCCCAAACCCTAAAAGATTCCCCAGTTGTTGCTGAAGGGAGATGCCCCACACCTTTGCCACAACACCTATTTAAATAAATCAAGTTGTCTGTTGGAAGGATGGGGGAAGAACACATAAAATACAGCCAGAGCCAAAATAGTTTATGGTCATTTCCATAAAGTGGGACAAAATCGGCAGCCTACAGTTGAGAAATTGTCTTTTTAGGGAGGGGGTCAAAATCGAAAAAGCTTTGCAATCCACAGGTTTAAAACTAGCAAGCTTTATAAAGCAAGGGGGACACATGGGAAAAGACTTTGATCTTATACATGAAAGCTTTAATACAAAGAAAAAATAAGTGCGGGGGGAGGGGAGACCTTGACTGTTTCTAACCCCTTTCCTACCCTCTTAAGGCAGGCAAGTCTAATAAATAAATATTTCAAGGTTCCTCTCTAAGGACGGAGGTTCTAGTACACACACTTGCAATAGGTCCGACTCCTGAGTAAACATGATCAGGACTGCGCTATTGATCTTCTAGAAATAATTTGTGAAACCGGCCTCCTCTCTCTTTCCCTCTTCTTTGCTAGCACAAGGGTGGTGCCTGGAAAAAAAAGGTTCCCAAAAGCTTTCCATATAACCACCATCAGCTTAAAAAAAACCAAGCAAAATGTTTTATTTTCATAACAAGCAGCATTGCTAATCTAATCACACACACACACACAAACTGCAAACTATAACACGTGAGATTTGGGGTGTGATTTTTTTTTTATTTAACAGAAAAAACAAGAAAGGAAGACTTGTAAATTTAATAGGAATGTAGTGTAAACTGGTGATAGACGCCATAGTGAAAGTACTACCCACAGTGAAAGTAGTGTAACAACACTACTACAAACTCACTAATGTGTTTCTGTAAGCAATTATATGTTTGCGCAGTTAAGCATTCTATTATTAATTATTGTTATAAGGAAAAATGTGATTTCAATAGGGTTTACTCCCAGGAAAGTAGATGTAGGGTTGCAGCCCCAAAGCTTACATCAGGGGTGAGAATCTGGAAGCAGGAGGAGGTGTGTGTGTGTGTGTGTAAAGCTTGCTTCAAGGTTAGAACGACCTTTGGTAAGTGGTGGGAAAAAATGAAATTTTTTACTATTCTGTGGTCCAGGCAGCTTCCTAAATTAATGCATTTACGATTCCTCAGGATATATTAGCCCTGGACATCTACTGAATTAAATCTGGGGTTGTTGTTGTTGTGTTTTTTTGGGGGGGGAGAAATCCTTAGGACTACAATCCTGTGCACTTACCTGAGAGTACACTGAGCCACAATAGGGCCTACTTCCGAGTAAACATCCACAGACTGTGCTGTTAAATAGGCTTTTTTTTGGGGGGGGGGTTGGGGATATAACTGCAACTCTTAAGCTCCAGCTTCAGGATGGACAAACCTAATTGGGAGGAGAATCGATCGATCTATTCAGGAGGAGAAAATATATATATACATTTTGGGCTCGACAGTTTGTTGCAAAAACCACCAGCAACACTCCTGGCTGTTAAAAATAAACACAACGTTTCACAGATCTTGGTGGGATGGGAAAGGGAATTATGTGCTATTTTTTTGCGGGGTGGGGGGGAAGATGGTGAAAATGAAGAACAGCCCCCTCCCTCCATCTAAAGTCAGACGAATTGGTCTAAATACTTACGGCAAAGCATGTTTCCCCCCCGGATAAAAATTAAAGGGGGAAAAATGCATTAACTTCTGGTTAAGGGCACCCCAACACTCCCCCCCGGAAAAAGCTCGGCGTTGAACAGCAAGCCTGGCCGGACAGCTCTTTCCATGCACTAACCTGGAAGGCGGCGCGTTGCAAACAGGTTTTTAAAAATATATAAAAATACTGAAATAAGGGGAAAGAGGCAAGGAAAGGAAGAAAAGCGCAGAGCGATCTTCAGTAAGGCTCTTTTTAAACGTCTCGTCGTCCTCCTCTGCCCCCCCCATACTCCACCCTGCTGCCAAGATGGCTCCCAGCTGTTGTTTACCAGGCGGGGAAAAAGCGAATTTTTAAAAAATGGGTGGTTTGTTGGTTTTGGTTTTTTTTAAGAGAGAGATGCAAAAGGTGGAGAGGGTGGGGGAAAAATCCGCCAGCAGCCTTGCAGTGACTCCGCGCGAGTAGGAACCTCTTTTTTGCAGCCGCGGAGGCGACCGGACCCAACTGGGGATTTATTGCAATTTTAAAAATTGCAAAATCTCCTCCCGCAGCTGGGGAGGGATCGCGCGGGGTGGGGACCCGACCTCCCTCTCTTCCACCTCCCCCCCCCCGTGCATTGTTTTTTTGCAGCGGGAAAAGGCCACGACGTGCGGGGGAGGGAGAGGATCGGGCCCTTCCCTCCCCCCCCCCCCGCTCGCAAGAGCTGTATTTTTCTTGGCGCAATCCTCTTGCCTTCGAGTAAACCCCTCCGGGAGGGAAGGCGGGCGGGCCTTGCTCCCGAGGAGGAAGCACGCGCGAGGATCCGGCCGTGGAGCAAAATCTGCGGGGGAGGGACTGGGTGGGTCACTAACCCGGAGAGGGCGGGATGGGCTCTCGGGCGCTGTAATGAAATGCAGATTTGCGCCCCGGCCTGATGGGAACCGCTTATATATATATATATATTTTTAACGGGGTGCAAAAGGACGCGCCTTTGCAAAAAGGAAAAGAAACAGGCAGCGCTTTCGTTTTATTGACGAAGCAAGGATTTATCGCACAGCTTCTCTCCCCGCCCCCATATAAAAACTCGCAGCTTCTGGCGAGGATCCGGGTGTGAAAACAGTAAATATTATTGGGGGGGGTGTTTAAAAAAATAAAAATCCATCGGCTGGATCCAGGCTTGTACGCTTGCTCTGCTCCAGAAAAAGATGGGGCTAAATAAATACAGTAACCCCCCCAAAAAAATCCCGACCAAGCACCCCCCCTGCATGGAAAACCGGGCATCGGATGCAACCTTCGCTCCACACCTCTTGAGAGGGGGCTCCGTCCTGCAAAATAAATTTTGTTTTGGGGGGAGGGGAATACCTACATTTTTTTTATAAGATCTGCAGGCTTAAAAAAACAACACACAATTCCATGCAAACCCGTTACCGTTGTAAAATAAAACCGGAGTGGTGGGAAAAGAGGCGGGGGGCCTCCCCCTTTTCTGCATTCTGCCCAGGCGGTGGGGCTCTCGCCCCTCCTCTTTTTCCCTCCCCCCCCCGCTTAAAAAAAACACAATTCTCTTGTTGCTCCTTCGCTAATTTGGATCCCAGCCATTCAATCCCGAGGCGAAGTCGTCACTCCTTCACTAGCCCGGGGGGGGGGGGAGAGAGAGACCAAGCTTGGCTATTTGTTGCTATCTCCTTTTGCATCGCGACGTTTTAACGCCCCCCCCCAACAAAAAAAACCCCCATTAAAAGAAGTTTGCATTTTTCTTCTTCGGCCTTCTATTTTCGGTCGCTTTCTCTCCCCCCCCCCCGCGCTCTCTCCTTCCCAAAGAGGGCGGCCTAGAAACTGCCTCGCTGGAGCTTCGGGGGCAGTTTGAAACTGCTAGGTGGTTTTTTGGGTTGTTTTTTTTTTACGTTTACACTGGAATTAAGTAAGGGTAGGGTGTCTCCCCTCCCCCCTTCCAATTTTTCTCCCTTCCCTCTATCCATTCAGGGGCAAATAAGAGTGTCCAAAGGCGATTTTTGTTTTGTTTAATGTTTTATTAGTATTGCAAATACACTCTTAATTCACACAAGCAAAATAAATATCCGGTCCAAGCAAATGCAGCTTCCAGATCTCTTTCCTTCGGGTAGCTTTGCGGGGTGGGCGAGTTTAATCCGCTACAGCAAAAAAATACGGAGTATTCTAGAATGGTACCGGTTCAAAGGGATCTCCAGGGATCAACTAGCTCAATCTCCCTAGAAATGCAGTTATCACAGCTAAATCAACATATTAACTCAGAACAAGCTCGAAAACAGGAACTAGGATATCTCTTGCTTTTCGTTTATGTATATATACATTTAAAAAGTATGTCTAAATCTGAAACGTTACTTGCCAATTCGGTTTATAAAGGCAACAGTTTGTCCCTCCGGTCGCCCTGGTTCAACTGCTTTGCAAAGCGAAATGAGGTTGTTGGAGCGGGGGGGGGGGGAGAAGAGTCCAAACTGGACTCCGGACAGCCGGCTCCGTTTACTCCGGAGTGAGACCCAAAGTCCACCGGCAATTACTCCCACGCCAAAGGGCACAGGCTCGCAGCCAAGTTTCCAGACCTAAACTGCAAATCTCCTCGCCAGCACCGCGCTCCCAAGACCAGGCCTGGGATGTTTGTTGGCCGGAGAGATCGTGTAGACACAACCAAGCGGCGTGAAAGCGGATCAAGCTAGAGAAGACCAGTGTTAAAGGTTCTCCCGTCTCTCTCGGGGGTGAGGATAAATCCGAAGTCCCTAAAACGTGTAGTTGGGGCCTTGGGGGGGGGGGAATAGGATGGAGGGCTGAGCAACTCCGGGGCAGAGGGACGACCCCTCCCCCAGGCATTGATTCGGATTGCAGGGGGGGGGAGGACGGGAGGGGCGCTGCTATGGGTTTGGGATCAGGCTCCGAGACCCCCGGCCGCCCCAATATCTGGGAGGGGGTCAGCTTTCCCTGGCTCTGCCCCACAGGAACTCCCAGAGAGGATAGATCTGCTGCGCTCCCGCCACGAACCCCCAAATAAACCCTCTAAGCCGGTGCTCTGCGGCTCCGATCCACGCACCTTCACTCGGAAGTAAGCTGCACCTCCATAGCGAGCGCCCTCGCCCCACCCCCGGTCGCTTTGCTGCCAAGCCTGGGCAAGCAGTAGCGCGCTGCCTTACTCTCGAGTAAGCCCCCGTCGCTGCAGAGCTGCTGCGTGGTTTCCATCCCACCCACCTACCCACCCCCCGTCCCCGGTTGTCTTACCTGCGGAGGAGGGTTTGGGGGGTTACATGGCGGAAGCTTACACCTGAGTAAACATGCCTAGGCTCGGGCCGCCGATGCTGCGCTTGCTTTCCTCCCGGGGAGTTTAAGGCCGGCTTACTTCCGAGTAAGCATGCAGAGCGGAACAGACACCCCTCCCTCCTTCCTTCCTAGGCGCTGCAACCCGCCTGGGCCACCAAAAACGCTCCGGGGGCCACCAGTCTCCTCCCCCCTCCCCCAAAGACATGTGGGGTGGGCGAGGCGGTGGCCGGCTTGCAACCCCTCCCTCGGGGTTGGGGGGGAGGGCTGAAGATGGCAGCCACCCCCCCCGCCCCGATTTTCTGTTTATGATCAGCCAGAGCAGACCAGAGGCGGAGGAAAAAAAAAACGGGGTTGGGGGGACACCTTGAAACCGCCTCTCTGAATTCCCACCGCCCGCTTCGCCCATTCAGCCCTCCCCGCCGGGGAGCCTTGAAACTTCCCCTCCCCACTCTCGCCCCGCTCGGTCCATAATTGGCTTTATAAGGATGGCGGCGGGCCAAAGTGTTTACATGAGGCTGAGTGGCGGGCGGGGCAGCCAATGGGGAGGCCTACTATGAAATTTTGGCTGGCTGGCCCGGAGGGGGGGCGGGATGCAAGGAACAATGCTTGTTTCATTGCTAAAGAGGCTTCCCCCCCTTCCTCCCCTCCCCCTCTCCTTTTTTTTTTTAAGAGATCCACGGAGAGGAACTTGAAAGGGGTTTTTTTTGGGTGGATTGCACCTATTCCAAGCCCGGGCTGTATATGTGTGGATCTTGAAGTCTCCCGACCGACAAGGCGCCGACCTGGAGCTTACGAGGAAGCCGGACCCGTTCACACGACGAGGGAACCCGAGTTTGTGAAAGCCGCCAGCCGAGGAACCCGCCTGTCCTGCCGCTTTTCAGGGTGGAGAGGGGAGCCCGGGAGAACCAGGCGAGGACCTTTTTGGATGCTCAGAGTGGAAGAGGAAGAGGAAGAAGGGGGGAGGAAGGCCGCTGCAGCCCCCACCCCGGAAAAAAACCAAAACACCCCGGTTGTGGATCTAATTTTTTGAAACGCGGGAGGGAGGGTTGGGGTCCAGGTGCGAGAAAACCCGGCCGAAGAATGCCAAAGAAGAGGACTAGATAAAAATTAACAATACAACTCTTTCCGAAAGGTAAGCTTTGCAACTCTTGCTGACTTGGGAAGTTGTCTCTGGGGAGGGGAGGGGGAAAAAAAGCTTTCTCAGCAGTGTAGGGGGGGGAACCCCATGGCAATTTCAGGACCGGGTCCTCCCCCTCCCCCATCGCCCCTCTCCACTTTCCCTCCTCTCCAAATTTTTCAAAATTCCTCTTCTCCGGACCAGGGCGCCCCAGATTTGGTCTCCTCTCCCCGCCCCCTTTTCCGTGGCGAAGAGAACCCAAGAACCAGGCATTTTCGCTTAGGCTGCTTTTAATTAAAATCAGGAGTCCAGCCATGTTTTTTTTTGGGGGGGGGTTAAGAACTGAGACCAAGGAAAGTAAAAGGCATTAAATGAAATTCTGTACACGCACAGCCGGCCCCCCGCACCCCATATATATATATATGTGTGTGTCTTGGTTTGGGATGCGGTGGTCTGGTTTTCATTCCCATCTGATCTTAAAAGTGTGCCCATATCTCACACACAGGAATCCGAAGTGTGTGTATATTAAGGCCAAATAGGAATTAAAACAAGAACCTTCCCTCTCCAAAGAATAAAAAATTGAAGCTTAGAGTAAGAAGTTATGGGGAAGGCTCCCCCCAAACCCCCATACGTGCAACTGAAATGGACAAACGGACCATTTGCCCTTTATATCCTTAAAATGCAAAGCCGCCGATTTATTTATCTGGTGGCTTACAAGAAAATGGGAACAAACGTTTCAATCTTGTATCTATTTCAGTGGCGTGTATTGGATTGGGGTGGGTGTTGTCTAATAAACACGGAGGTAGTTTTAACTAAACCCAGATTAAAGTAAGAAACTCTTAATTAAACCTAGTAAGGGACCAAACGGGGATTTTTGTACTCTGCGTTCTCATCAGTTCATAAGAACCAGTCTGAGGAAATTCCAAGGCGATATTTCCCCCTGGGAACAGAGAGCTAAAACATCGACTAAATTCTTTTTTTGGTGTGATTTTAAGGCAGCTGGTGAATAACTTCAGGGTTGGAGACAGGGAGAATAGCTTTTCTTTGGAAAAGAAAGTCATTTTCCAACAAGTCCCTCTTCCACTCCCTCCATTTTTTCAGTGAGCTGAATTCTAAATATTTTGGAATATTTTATGGCGGTGGGTTAGAGGGAAACAACCAAAAATACTTTGGAAACTTCTCTCTGCATTCCTCCTCATTTAAAAGAAGGCTTGGTTTATTTTTTTAATGGCAGACACTGGAGCCTCATTTTTTGGAGAGAGAAAAATTCTGTCCCATGATTTGGAAGCGACCCCCGCTGAGTAACCAGACGGTGGATACAAATGGTTATTCTTGCCAGTGTTACTGGGGACCAAGCCCCATTGAACCCGGAGAGACACTGAAGACAGTGGGGTTTACTCCTGGGTAAATGGGGCGAGGATTGCAGCCTTACTTCTTAAAGACAGTCAGTTGGGCTTCCTAGCAAGGAAACTAGCACGATTTCTGGCAGAGGAGGAGAGCGCAAGAAACCTTTATTTTATTATATTTTATTAAATTCCAACCAGTGTAGCGAGGTCGTCGCTGGAAACAGAACCGGGTTGGTGGCTTCCTCAATAATAATAATACAGTAAAACCCCATTTTCCTTCCGAGCCATTTTTCCCAAGTGGCGTGAAGAAATCTCGAGCTCCTTATCAGGGCCAGCTTGCAGCGTGTGCGTAAAAGGTTAAACATTAAATACTTTTCCAGGGCTAAGAAGATGATAAAATATGTAATGGGTTATTTTCGCCTCCGGGCGAGTAGGAGCTCCCAGCCCCCCACCCGCCGCCCTTTCTACATTTTTGTCGACCCACATCTGATAAGATGGAGGGGAAGGAATGAGGATTTGTCCAAATCGATACTGGGGAGGGAGAGGGGGTCCAGCAAAACGTGAGAGGAGAGGGAGAGGGCAAAAAACAACTGACGAATCCGGATTTTAAAAGATGGTCCATCTTAGATAACAGCTAGAAGCCAAGGAAGGTGGGTCTGGTTAAATTCCTCATATCTTCCCCCACCCCATGACCGAGGTTGCAAGAGAGGCAGGAAAGTGTCTCGGTTAAGTGTGCGATCCTAAAGAGCCCTTTCCACCCCTGGGGAGCAAGTCCTTTTCAGCCAAGGCGTTTCGGATCGGGCCGCGCAGCTGCGCTTCCAAACGCGCTGAACGCGAGCCTCATTCTGTCTCTTTCCGAAGCAAGCCCTGTCGACTTTAAACAGGGCTCTCTCACGCTCGCGCTCTCTGCTTCCGAAAGGGGGGTTGGGGCACGATCCTGCGCCTATTTACTCGAGTAAGCCTCAACCCATCGGAGCTGGCTGCCCGGGAACACGGGCGCGTACCGGCGGCGGTGGCAGCTTTCGATTGCAGGCCGAAGGAGCTTACTCGCGAGTAAACAGCCGCTTGGGAGAAACCTCCCTAACTTTTAAAAAGTCTTTATTTTGTACACACACACATTTTCCCCCTGAAAACAAAATACAACGTATATATTCTTTTTTTTTTAAGTCTTCAAAATGTGAACTCGGGTTCCAGGGACGAATCTTTGGGTTTTTTTTAAATTTGGGGAGTGCTGGACGCCCACTTCCTCGGGAGTAAGCCCCATTGCACCTCGTGAGGTTTACTTGTGAGTAAAGAGCCTTGTTTCCTTGCTTTTTCTCCTCTCGCCTTTTTTGAAGGCGCAAAATAAGGGCAGCTCTCTCTCTGTGTGTGTATATATATATATGCCGGGCTCTCCTTTCCCGCTGAAGATTGGAGACCCCTCGGTGGGGCTGGGTGGGGGTCTAGGAGGGAAACTCGAGCTGCCGCCGCCTTTCTGCGAGACTCAAGCGGCGCCTTTCGCCTTCTTTTGCAGGCTCCCGTCCGGGGCCGCCTGGGCGGCCGGAGCCCCGCGCGCGCGGAGAATGGTTGCGCGGCCGGGCGCGCGGCGCGGGCAGCGGCGCTTGTCCTCGCTGCGCCTTCGCTGAGTCCGGCGGCGGCGGCGGCGGCGGGAGCGCAGCATGGATGGGCGAGACCTCGGCGGGCCCCCGCGCGCCGTCCACCTCCCGCCGCCGCCGCTCCTCTCGGGCCTGGCCATGGACGGGCACCACCGCCGCCGCCGCCGCCCGCCTCGCCCCCTTGGCGGCCGGACTGCCGCCCGCGCCCCTCGGCCCCGCCAAGTACCTCGCCGCCGGACTCAACCTCCATTCCCACGCGGGTAAGTCGACACGCAGACGTGGCCGGGGGGTGGGAGGGTGGGAAAGAGGAAGGTTTATTTGGGGGAGAGGAAAACGGAGGGTGGGGGGTGGAAGGAAGGCCGGTGCAAGGGGGGGTCCGCCTTTACCCCTTCCTCTGCAAATTTACCTTCAAAATGCCCCCTCACACTTTAGGGGGTCCCAAGCTTGGAAAATTGGGTTGGTTTCCTTCCCCGCCAGCCTACAAAAATATACTGTATAATCCCGCTTTTCCGAAAAATAGACAATCCCTTAGCAGGCTAGCTCCCCCCCCCCATTGCATTTAAATAGCAGTAAAAATAGCTGGATAAATACTCTGCAGTCTGTTTGCCTTCCCACCCCAAGAACAGACTGTGCCCCCTGCCAAAGAGATCTGCCCTTTCCCCATATGACTGAAGGTGCCATAAGACAGAAAACCTCGGCATGTCGTAGAGCACCCATCCCACAAAAATGAATTCAACAAAATAAAACCTCAGGATCCCTTGGGAGCAGCCCTCTGCCCAATAATTCGAGATGGGGCTTTATAGAAGTGCCTGACAGCCTTAAGTCCACATCAACCCACCCCTTGATTTTTTATTTTGATTTTTATAAATATGACACATTAATTCTGCTTCCTAAAAACAGACAAATCCCTCTTTGGTAGGGTGGCTTTCTTACAAAAGCGATTCTACTTAAATAGTCTGTATGGCTTTGGGAATACTCTGTAGTCTGTTGTGCCCCCTCCCTGCAAAACAGACCACCCCTTTCTCTACATGGCTGTAGGTCCCTTGAGCCAGAAAACCTGGGGGTCCCATAGGAACAGCCCTCCAACCGATAATAAAATAAATGCAATGAGAATGAAGCTTGGGAACTGATAGGAACCCGCCCTATAATGCCAGACAGGCTGCTTCGGATAAGGGCACAGCCCCCCCCCATCCCTGTCTTTTAAGGCTATGCCCTACATAGAGCAGTTGGCTTGGGGTGCCCTTGGCCCTTCCAGCCAGCCTGTTCTCCCACAGGAGTCGGCCCATCAGGATTTCTTGAAATCACCCCCGCCCAAGCATACACAAAGCATCACACACATTTTCAAGAGCAGCCGAGAAGCATAAATCTTGGCCGGCCTGGCAGAAGCCGGCATTCCAGACCTGTGGAATTCTAGACCCGCAGGATCCCACCCTTTTCTGGCAGCGGGAAAC